AACTCCCTTCTTTCCTTCTTCATTTTATTTTAAAGCATGTTGGAGACCTTGGTAATATACTAGCAGACAAGAACGGCAGGGCTTCTTTTCGATTAGAAGATAAAACTGTGAAGGTAACTGTAATCAACATACTGAATAGATTTTAATTTATAGGTGATCATCTAAAATGCCAATTCTTGGTTCCTTTCTAGCATTTCAGATCTTTAGTATCCCTCCCCCAACAGCCTCTCCTATCAAAGGTACCCTTAGCACCTTAGGAAGTGGTATGTTCAGGAGAATTTCTGTTTTGAGTTATCCACCTTCCTCTGGTTGATTGACTGTAATTGCAGCCTCTTACATCTTCTTTTATGTGCACTAGTTACTTTACTATCAATTTTCAAATTCTTCTCATTTCTTTTCAACTTCCTTGATGCTTAATCTAGCTTTTATTGTAATCAAATTCTCACAAGCCATGAAGAAAAATTAGAGGGGCCAGTTAGGAGAATCTGTTGATGGACGAATATATTGAATAACTATCATGTTTTGCACCTTTGCCAGGTTTGGGATATAATTGGCCGATCACTAGTTGTACACCATGGAGAAGATGATTTAGGTCGTGCCAATAATGCTTTGTCAGAAATAACAGGAAATTCAGGCCCAGGGTAAGGCAATCTAAGCTGTTGATTCATATGATTTGGAAATGGTGTCAGGTTGATAGAGGTGCAGCAGCCTAATGGTTACTGCACTGTACTGTAATCAAGCAGTCTGAGGTCAAGTTACTGTGTCCTGTTTGTGGACAAGGCACTTTATTTCATATAACTTACCTTCACCCAGGAGTATGTTAAATAACCTTGCAGTAGACAAGCATCGCATTGAGGGGGAAATAGAAATTTACTCTTGTTCACTTTGTGGTACTGAAACTGGACCAATGCAGCAAGAAGAATTTAATTTACTCGCTAATACATTATTATTAATTTAACTTATTATAAAGTTATCATTTCCTGCAGATGGAGCACTATGAACAGTTAAGTAGATGTGTGTGCTAATTAATTTGCATCTCCAATTTCACACAGCTTATCATGTGGAATAATCGCCCGTTCAGCTGGTCTTTTCCAGAACACCAAGAAATTCTGTGCATGTGATGGGAAAATCCTTTGGGAGGACAAGCCACTTTCTGCACCTACAAGCATGCCACCCTCTCAGTTATGACATGAATGTGTGTCTTCACAGTTAATATGAATACTGTGTTAAGCTGTTAGGTGTTAAGAATAAACAAATTCAACTGAGAGAGATAATGTCTTCAGCTGAAGTCACTCAAAATTCTTGTAATTTGGCATTGAAATATC